TATATTATAATATACTTTAAATCAACGAATCGTTCTAAAATCATTCTTTTCAAGGTGAATAGACTCGAAAAAACAAATTCTTATTTAGAGAGATAAATAAAGACTACTTAAAACAATTTCTATCAATGAAAAATACAATAAAATCAAACAAATTTTCATATATATATATAGAAAGTGGATAGAGAATCACCTACTCTTAAGAAATTGATTGTTATGTTTGTTTTATGGTTATTATAATTGTAGATATGAATATTTTTAGATATATTATTGGTTGTCAACGATAACTAAGAGATGATTTATTTAATATAAGACTAACTGAAAATAACTATTAAGATAATATGTTTTCATCAATAAATATTCTTTTAATTATTCTCAATAAACTAACCAAAGAATAAATCTAAAGAGAAGAATCATTCCTCTTTCATTTTTCATTTTTCTTTAGAAAAAAAAAAACGAATCTATCGATTTTTTTTAAATATAAAATAAAATTCGGTTTTTGTTGCTGTTAAATTTCGTCGAAATTAACTTGAAAGATTGAGATGTTAAACAAGCTAAGATCGAATAATATTCATTTAAATTATTTCAATTCTAAACAATATATTTTCATCGACAATCGACAATCGACAATCGACAATCGACAATCGACAATATATTATATAATCAATATTTATTTATGTCTTCGACATCGTCTATCATCATTTATATTGATATCGATATCGATATTAAGAGACAACCGAACACATACTCTTATTATAGAAAAGAACGACCACTTTTAAATAAAATAATTCTTATTCGATTATTTAACCCAATATCTCACACTTTATAGATCGAATTTATTGTTTTTCAATCGTCTAGAGCATAGATTATTTTCTTAGAATAATAACAATATATTCACTAGATATATTTATCTTGAAGAGATCAACAATTGATAAAATAAATCTTATATATAGATAATACTATAGAGAAACAGTATAAATAATGGTCAAATATCCATCATCATATATCTATAAGACAGAATTTGATCAGATATTCCCATGTAAAAAAAAGACCGAGAAAAATCAGATTTTAATCGATTTTTTTCTGATTAAAAATCGATTTAAATGGCACGATTTTAATCGGATTTTAATCAGATTTTTAATGAGAAAAATCGATTTTAATCGATTTTTTTCTGATTAAAAATCGATTTAAATCGCATGGTTTCGATCGAAAAAAATCTATTAAAATTGATTTTTCTGATTAAAAATCTGATTAAAATCCGATTAAAATCGTGCCATTTAAATCGATTTCTAATCAGAAAAAAATCGATTAAAATCTGCTTTTTTCCGGGATTGTTTACATCGATATGTTCGAATCGATTTTCATCGATTATTAATTCCTAATGGATTTGTATCAATTCTGACATGGCATCCAATTTTAATCGGTTCTTACTTGACATCTGATTTTAACCGATTCTTACCTTGTATCTGATTTTAATAGATTCTTACCGTCTATCTTGTTTTAATTGATTTGTGTTGGATAATCGATTTTAATGGATTTTTAAATTTTAATCGATTTTAATCATTAGCATCGAAAATAAGCACTTTTCTCGAGATTCGAACATGGAACCCTATTTTTTAATGATTTTTTTCGAGAGCTCATCGAGAAATTATCATAGGGCTTCAGCTCTACAAACATAGTAAATTTGGAACTCCTATATAAATTGAATCAATTGAGATTGCGCAATTACATAAATAATCGATTAAAATCGATTACAATCCAGATTAATCAATTAAAATCGATTAAAATTTATTACAGTTTTAATCGATAATTTGGGTTCCTTAAAAAAGTAGTTAGCGCAATCGTTGTAGAAATAAAATGTGAAACACAACCAAACCCATTCTCATTGACATCAGGCAAACTGAAAATTCCATATATATTATGACATATTTCTGTCACTCTTCGCTTTGAACCAAAGAATTTCAAAAAGAAAACACTCACGAAATATTCCAGTTAAATGTTACTCATACATGCATCCTGAGAGTTCCTTGAAGGCGGATCTCACGGTTTGCACTGAATCGTAAACCTGTCTCACATGGTCCGTGACGGGTACAAACCCTATTTCCAATGTTCTGGATGTATGTGTGTGGGAGGAGGAGAAGGGAGGTCACGCGCTGAATTTCTACCCCATTTATATCAACAATCCTTTCATATTCTGTTTCACAATAAACGATTATTTCGAATTTTCTAAAAATAATCTATTTTAATCGATTACCAGCATTAATCAATTACAATCGATTAGACTTTTAATCGATTATTTCGAATTTTCTGAAAATAATAGATTTTAATCCATTACTATCATTAATCGATTAAAATCAATTAGATTTTTAACCGATTATTTTGTATTTTCTAAAAATAATCGATTTTACCCGAGTACCAGCATTAACCGATTAAAATCAATTAGATTTGTAATCGATTATTTTGCATTTTCTAATAATGATCGATTTTAATCGATGACCAGCATTAATCGATTAAAATCAATCAGATTTTTAATCGATTCTTTTGATTTTTCTAAACATAATCGATTTTAATCGATTATCAGCATTAATCGATTAAAATTAATTAGATTTCTAATCGATTACTTCGAATTTTTTAAAAATAGTCGATTTTAATCGATTAACAGCATTAATTGGTTAAAATCGATTAGCTTTTTAATCGATTATTTCGAATTTTTTAAAAATAATCGATTTTAATCGATTACCAGCATAATCGATTAAAATCAATCAGATTTTTAATCGATTGTTCTGATTTTTCTAGAAATAACCGATTTTAACCGATTATTAACATTAAATGATTAAAATTGATTATTTCGAATTTTCTAAAAATAATCTGTTTTAATCAATTTTTACCTAAGTTAAATCGAATATAATCGATTTTTTACACGAATTTAATCAAAATTACTCCTTTTAATCGATTTTTTCCGATTTTTCTCCGAAAAACCAATTTAAATTAGATTTTTAGGCTGTTTTCTTTTTACATGGGCAGAACGCCCGTCAATTAAGCTCCTTAAATATAAAATCTTTTATAGTTATAAACCATAATTCCTATTTTCTTAAAAAGGATATGGTTTTTGATCGATTAGATTTGTAATCTATTATTTTGGATTTTATAAAAAAATTCGTTTTAATCGACTCTTACTAATAATCGATTAAAATCGGTTAGACTTTTAATCGATTATTTTGGATTTTTTGAAAATAATCGATTTTAATCAATTACCAACATTAATCGATTAAAGTCGATCAGATTTTTAATCGATTATTTAGGATTTTTTGAAAATAATCGATTTTAATCGATTCATCAAAGTAATCGATTAAAGTCGATTAGATTTTTAATCGATTTTTTTGAATTTTCTAAGAATAATCGATTTTAATCGAGTTTTAGCTGTGTTAAATCGATTATAATCAATTTTTTTACACGAATTTAATCAAAATTGCTTCTTTTAATCGATTTTTCCAGATTTTTCGCAGAAAAATCAATTTAAATCAGATTTTTAGGCTGTTTTTTTTTACATGGGTTGACATAGGAGGTTTTATAGAGTAAAATATTCTCTATACGAGCATATAGAATAGTTTTTATAAGAGTAGCAAAGATAGACCATTTATGCAGGAAACAATTTCCTCCTAATTAATATAATTCAAAGTCTATATGGTATGACATGATGAAATTTTTATGGTAAAAAAGTCTATCTTTGGTACTCTTATAAAAAGTGTAATATATTGTCGTGTAGAGGATATTTTACACTATAAAATCTTCTATGTCACTTACTGACGGAATTCTGCGTTAGCTAAATATAATGATGGATATTTTATCATTATTTCTATGGTTTTTTTTAATAGTATTATCTATATATAGGATTTATTTTGTGAATCTCTGATCTGTTCAAGGTTAGAATTTGTAGATAATATATTCTTATCATTATAAGTAAATCGATCATGGTCTAGACGATTTGAAATATGAAAATTGATTTGGCGTAAGTTGAGATAAAGTTGTTAAATATAAAGGTGAAATATAATCTATATATAGATTGTTTGATTAATTGAAGATATTCAATTCTAAACTCTTTCTTCGATAATTTACCTTAAAAATAAAATCATTTTTTATAAATAAAATATATATTATAAATATTGATTTGTTATTCAATATTTCTAATAAATTTCTCTTTAAATAAATAAAAAACTAAAATTTCTATTTATTAATCTTGATTATTTTTCTAGATGATTAATTCAATCGTCTTGATTTGAAATTTCGAGTAAAATTTTTCCAATTAAATTGAAGATAATTATCTTTTGTTTTGTAGAAATCGATTTGAATAGTTAATATAGAAATAATAAAAATTGTCAACTCAAAGATAATATTTATTTTACTAAAATTTATTTAAATATAAGACTAAACAAAATAATAATCAATACTAATTAATCATTAATATAAACTTTTGTTTTTACTGATTTTATTGAAATATTTTTCTTTGATTTCTATAATAATATATTCAGAAATAATATTCTATAGAGAATAATTGAAATAAAAAAATAATTTTCAGTGATTTTTGTTTTCAACTAGCTATGAATAGTGTCGAGAATAAAAAATCTATCTAATAATTTATCTATTAATTGATATCGATTATTGATCAAAGAGTGAAAATATCTTGTTAAATAATATTAAAAAATAGATCGAATCTCGATTAATTGAATAATATTGATAATTTATTGAATAAAATTTCAATAAAAAAAAAAATTTTTTTATTGATAAAAAAAGAATATTGAAATATGTTAAATCGATATAAATAAATATTGATTCTATAAGATTGATTTATATTATTTATTATAAATTGAATAATAAAACAAAGAAAACTGAAGAACTAAGAAAGAATAATTGATAAAAAACGAAAAAAAAACCGATAATTGATTAAAATAATTGAAAGGCGATAGATGAAATAAAAGAATAAAATGTTGGAATAAAGAATTTATTTAAAAAAGACCTTTCTTTGGAGGTTTTCTAAAAGGAAAAAACAAAAAGAAATTTTTCTTTTCTTTTATAAACAAGAAAAAAGAAATTTACGTTAATGAAATATATTGATCATTAAATGAAGATTTATTTAAATTGTCTTCCCATTGACGTCGAATATTTTCAAAATCTAAACGTTTTCGTTGAATATTTTCTTCTTCTTGTTGAATATTTAATCGAAATGTTTCTTCACTTTTTAAAAGCTATAATAAACAAATATATTTATTATTTTAAATTAAATCAATAGAAATAAATAATAAAACATTTTGTTTATTTTCTTGAAGTTTTTCGTATTTTTCTTCAACTTTTGATTGATAAACATTTTCCATATCTCGAGACATTTTATTTAATCTTTCTTCTACTTCAATTCGTTCATCTTCAATTTGTGATAATAAATTTCTATTAAATAACAATATTTAAATGAAAAAAAAACAAAACAAAAATTCTCATTTAACTTATTTATTGAAGATGTTTGTAACGTTTTGCCATTTTTTGATTCATTTCCATGAAAAGAAATTAATTTTTTATAACGATAATTTTCATAATGAACATTATGTGTTACATCACGTAAATCATTTAAATTTGTTTTTATAATCATACTTCTCAATGCAATAAAATCACTATGAGCTTCATCTTCAACTAGAAAAAAGAAAAAATCGATTAATTTAAATAAAATAAAATGAAATAAACCATCAACAGTTCCCCAAGCATATTGTCTTATTCTTGTACGTTTATTTCCACGTTCTAAAACGAAATTACTTCCAACAACAGCAAATGGAACTTTATCTTTATAAATTTTATTTAATTTATAATCATGATCAGAATTATAATCAGGATATTCATAAAGTTTGATTTTTTCATTAGTTATATCTTGCATTATTGATTTTTTAAATAAACGTAATTCATCTGATGTTAATGTATCAGATTTTCCTATAACTGGAATTATATTAACACGATCATGAAGACGTTTCATAAATTCAATATCTAATGATTGAAGACTAAAAAAAGTTTTTTATTTATTTATTTATTTATATTTAAATAAAATAATCAAACCTATGACCAGTTGGACTTATAAAATAAAGACAAGCATGAATACGATTATCAATAATATGTGTTTTACGAATAACTCGAGATTCTCCATTTAAATATTCTTCATATTTTGAATCAATATAATCAATAATTGGTTGCCAACTAAAATATTTCAAATAACAAAACTAAAATAATATATTTTTAGAAATTCAAACCAATTTGAATTATCAACTGAATCTCCGAATCCAGGTGTATCAACAATAGTTAAACGTAATTGAACACCTTTTTCTTTTAAAATAATTGATGATGAATCAATAGTAACACTTTTCTTTTTTCGATGAATTGTTGATGGAAAATCTTGACCATAAAGTTCAGTTTGAAATAATGTATTTATAAATGTTGATTTGCCCAAACCAGATTGACCTTTTATTTATTTATTTATTTATTTATTTGTTTATTTAAATAAAAATAATAAATCAAATTAAATTACCTACAACCATTAAATTGAATTCAAAACCTTTTTTAATAGCTCTTCTATGAACTTGATCAGGTAATGAAACAAAACCAACATTTGAACTTATTTCTCGAATTCTTGGTGCTGTTTGTTGTTGTTCTTTATTTGTTGAATTAATATCTGATTCTCGACGATTTTCAATTAATTTTGATATTGTTGAATTATCTTTCTTAATATAATTTGAACTTGTTGATGAACGATATTCACCATTTGTTAATGATAAATTTTGAAGAAGTGGAGATTGATGAAGATCATCAACAGTTATACGATATGATGGACTTTTTATATTTGTTAATGATGATAATGGTGGAGGAGGCGGAGGTGGAGGAATACTTGGAGATGAGACATTTGATGAAGAAATGACAGGTGGACTTAATGATGAAGAATTCTCAATTGCTCCTATATCAGCATTTCTATGTATAATTGATTCATTTTTTGTTCCAATTGAATTTGTTGTTGTTGTTGTTGTTGATGATGATGTTGAACGAAGATAAGGTTCGGCACGACGCTAAATAATAATAATAATAAAAATGATTATTATTTGAAATAAATCTATTTTGTTTTTTAATTAAAAGAAAAAAGAAAAAAGAAAAAAGAAGAATGTATAAAAATGTTTGATACCTTTGATCTCCATTGAATATATTTTCCTAAAGTTTCTCCAAGTAAAACTGAGTCCGAAATAATATTTTTCTCGTGTCCACCAATAAACATATATTCATATAAGATTTATTTTCTCAATAAAAACAATGAATATTTTATTTTGAATCGAATTCGAACAATGAATACTATTGAAGTTTTTCCAGTTTTTCTTTCTTTTTCATGACATATTTTTATCTTATCTATTTCATGTTGCTATTTATCGAACATTTTATTATTTACGTGATTATAAATATATTCTCTCGTTGAAAAAGAACAAAAAAAAACTATGATTATTAATTAAAATTGAAAATAAGTAAAAAAAAACGTACACTTGTCTGAAAAGTGATGAGTATTATCAATGAAGAATAACATTTAAATTGTTTTCAATCGAAATAGTCTAGAGTTTAATAATTAGTTCGCTTGTTATTTATTCGAGATATTCATATCAATCGATTCGGTTCACATACAAATCAACAACTGTTATATCAATCAATCAAATACTGAACAAATTAGCAAAAAAAAAAACTTCATTTCTTTTTTATAATAAAAGCATTGAATTAAATCTTATTTCTCATACAAAGAGATAAAATGAACAAATTGCAATGAACTTTCGATAGTTATAGTTTAGAATATAGAAAGATCATCCAATAAAATGTGATAAGATGTTGAGATAATGAATATTTATTTGAGATTATGTAATTCTTGTTTAGTTCATTATGAAAAGATTATCAATGTCTAAAGATCTATTCATTTGAAATATATGAAAAGATTATGAAAAGATCGACCCACATATCTATGATTAGTTTTCACAACATACCAACTTTCATTTAATATATATTTCAAAATAACTTATTATATATATTATCTTATATATTAATTTCAATAATTAACTAAATTCAATTTTTAAAATAATAAAAATCTAAAAAATCTAATAATAACATATGAATAAAGATAAATAATAAAATAAGAGTTGAGTTAAAATATTACTTGAATGTTTGTCTGAAATTGTTCAACATAAATTGATTTTCGAAAAAAAATTATATTCGAAATAAATAAATAACAACGATAACAACAAGAACAACGATTCATACTTTTTCAATCGAATTTGCAAATGACAAATGCGAATAGACAAACATTATTCGAGATATAATCAGAAAAAAACACGTCAAATATTCTCTTTAAGAAATTTCAAGAGTACATTGTTTTTATGCCCGTCCTCTTTCGATGTACAATTTAGTATTCGAAAGATTTCATTCTCAATCATCTTTCATATTGATTCAATCAAAAAAAAGGTATGTGAACAAACAAAAGAAGAAATTTTCGTTTCAATACCTGTTGTCGTATAGTAGTCATTTTTGTTTGTGGTATACGTAACGCCATGAATGATGTTCAACAAGAAATGTCTCACCTATACAAATGTCAAGAGAAAAAGAGACAAACTTTCTTTTTCTCTTTACAATTCTTTTATAAAAAAAAAAGAAAAAAAGTAACGATAGTCCGTGATGTAATTTCTATGTGTGTGAAGGTTATCACAATCGTCAAAAAAGAAAAACGAATTTGATACACTTTACAAATCAATCTAGAAGAAGGTTAGAATAAAAAACAATGAGAATCAATAAAGAATCTATTTGGATTTACCAATGAAGAAACAAAAAAAAAAGAAATTAAGATCATCTCTCACTTTTTTTTTATTGATTTATATCAATAGAGAATTATTCGTTTTTATTCTCTTCTCATATCTATTTTAATTTCAACACACGTATCAAACTAAATGTCATCATGCTTCAATAAAAAAAAAAGCATAGAAAAATTTCGATCGACACATTATGTTAACACATTTAATAAATGACAAAAGTCTATTAAATTTTGTTATAATTCATGGTTAAATAAATAATATATTTATTTACATAAAAATCTTATTTATTAAAGTTTATCTTTATTGATATAGTTCTTTTAAAAAATATTTTAAATAAAATCGAATAAATACATACATTTATTGGATTTATATTTGATTGTTTATCTGATAAAATCTTATTTATTTGTTTAAAAGTTGAAAGTCGATCAGTTAAATCAGATTTAAATAACTTTTTATATTTATTCATAACTATTTAATGATAACAAGATGTTTATCATCAAATTGACTTATTATTAATATAATAACAGGAATAAATTGATGTTTTATGTTTAAACTTTATAATATTATCTAAAAAACCGTAAAAAGTGACCATATCAATTATTTAATATATTATTTTAATCAATTTGAAAATCACGTATGAACTTTGTTCGTTTTTTCTTGTCTATGTCTCTCGTATGAATTGTTAATAGAAGATTAGTCGGCATCATCTTCTTCTCAATTGTCCGATTATGTAACATTTATTTATATTCTATGAAGAAAAAAAAAGAATATATTCAATTAGATAGGAAACAATTTTTTTTCTTCTTTCTTTTCCTAATAGAAAATGTCTCAAGGACAACGAACAATTATTATCTTCAATTAATAATAAAAAAAAAAAAATAAGAAAATGAATTTGAGTTTATTGATTGAATATGAAGAGTATGCTGTTATAACCATTGATACCTTATTTGTTTCCTGTTCATATCCGTTATGTCCTTCTATCGTCTTTTTCCTGACATATCGATTATTACAATAATTATCTTAACCATAATAATCATCTGGTTTTTTTTCATTTAGAAAATAAAAATAAAAGTGTAAACCTATAAGAGATAATTAATTATCTATTTGAGAATAAATAAACAACAAACTATATTTACTCTATGATTAATGAATAAATTCGAGAGAAAATTAATAACTATAAATTTTAAAAAATATATTTATTTATAATATAAATTCAAATATTTATTTAAATTAAAAAAATGCAATTAAATGTTGTGAATGTACTTAGTTGAACAAGATTAATTGAATAAACTCTTTATTATATTGACACGAAAAAAGCACTATGTTTAGTTTATTTGCCTGAAGCATTATTTAAAGAAATTCTCTGCAATTGAACACAATTACTTTCGATTATTTATAATAGAAAAAAAAACAAAAAACGAAATCCACTTAATAAAAGCATCGTTAAATAAAACAAACGAGATTGATTTATTTATATAAGTATAGACAAATGGGATCTATTTATCTGGTTAGTTTATATATATATTCGATAAATATAAAGGGTATTCTAAAAAAAGAAAAGTCAATAACAAAGGTCAATTAGAACAATCGATTTATAATTGATAAATAAATCTGTTCAATATAATATATTTATTTTTCTCAAACAATCTTATTCGACAACAAAAAACCGTTCGAATCAGTTCTGATTATATAAATCGAATAAAAAAACAAAAATTTCTAATTGTCTGAGTGAAGAGTGTTGAAATGTGTAATTTATCGATAAAATAATCAATCGATAATATTAGGAATCGATTAAGAATAATATGAATAACTATAACGAGAATAAATTCATCTAGATCACTTATTTTTTTGTTATCAACAATTTATTTTAATATTGACAACGAGTTTCCACAAACCATTGGTTTTGTTTTATGAAATAAATTGACAATTATTGACAAATGTTTATTATCTTATTCAATAACAAACATTTATTTTAATTTGACTAGTTTTTTAATAATCGCAATATTCTTCGAAAAAACCATATATATATTGATCAGAATAAATCTAAATATAATGTTAATTATATATTTGATGAAGATTCTTCGATAATTGAAATATTCGATTGAGTAAAAGTTTTTATTATCTTTAGGAGAATTTAATAATATAATTAAAAGTAAAGAATCTATTCAATAAATAAATAGTAAAATAGCTTCTCTATAAAAGTATATTCTTGGAGCAAAGCTGGATGCTACCAAGCGGATCTACAGGTTGCGGATAGTGGAACGACCATTAATATGATGGTTAACTGCGAATAAGAACAAGCGATTGCTCAAATAAGCAGTCCCGGACAATTCAGTCATCTTGTCAACGGGGTAGTGGAGTTTTATATTACATCAAAACACCTATAAAATGCTACAGAAATCCAAAGACGACAAGATGACATGGCGAGTATAGGCCGCCAGAAGCAAGGTTCACCCGAGTCAAGTTTCATAAGTCTTATCCAGAGTAGGTGGAGCTCATTAGCCTTGACTGGTAGTTCACCTAGGAGAAGGAAAACTCTGACTTTAAACCAAGGGCAGATGAGGCTCTCAGCCATGGTAGGCAGCTCATCTAAGAGAGAAAACTTAGACGACAAACACTCACCAACCCGCCTAGCCTGCGCGGTGTTTTACTGGCTACACAACTCCCCATGACAACACATACACTAAAAATTGATGCCGGCTTAGTCGTCGCCCGGACTAACAAGGACCGCGTTTGTGATTTCGGCAGTGAGTCACAAATGATAAATACGCTACAGTTGTCAACCCACAACAACAACAACAACAAATCAAGTTAATATGACAAACTTAAGCACAATAGTAAACTAAAGAATAACAAATCTAACAAAAGCAACAAACCAAGCCGTAGATCTCGAAATTTATTAAATATGCATATCTGTACCTACAACATAAGAACATTCAGGGAGGAAGAAAAAAGAAAAGAATTTGAAGAAGAAATATCAAAAATAAAATGGGATATTATAGGATTAAGTGAAACAAAATGTAAAGGTGAACATCTAATAAGATTAAAAAATGATCACATGCTCTATACATGTGGAAACGGCAATAACAACAGAAATGGTGTCGGATTTTTAATAAATAAAAAGTTTGAAGAAAAAGTAAATCCTCAAAAAGAAACCACAAATAAACAATGACATAACTTGCAACAAAGAAAAAAGAATTTGAAACAAAAATTGATCAAATGATAAAAACACAAATAAACACCAAAGAAATGAATTTAAATGAAATAAATGAAACTCTAACAAAAATAATTGTTGATTATGTAGAAAAACTTGTAAAAGAACAACCTATAAGTCAAAATACTTTTAAAATATCACTTGAAACACGAAAATTAATTGAAAAAAGAAGAAAATTAAATGCAAATACAAATCATATAGGGTTTACAGAACTAAACAAAACAATAAAGAAAAAAATACGGATAGAAAAAAGAAGTCACAACACAAAAATAATTCAAAATACAATTGAAAATAACAAAAGCTTAAAAAGAACCTTCAAAAACATCTCATATGGGCAAAATCAAATAATTTCCTTAAAAGATAAAGATGGAAATATTTTATATGATAGACATCAAATCAATAATAGAATTAAAGAATTCTATGAAGACCTATACGACACAAAAATAACAAATAAGATAAACAAAATACAAAATAACTATAAACATGAAAATGATATTCCTGATATAATATTAGGAGAAATAGAAATGGCACTTAAAGCAATGCCAAACGACAAGGCCCCAGGTCCATATCACATAACTACCGACATGATAAAAAGTGGAGGAACAACTATCCTAAAAATTATTCAAGAACTTTTTAACAGATGCTTAAAAGAAAAGAAAATACCACAAGACTGGAATAGTGCAGACACCATTCTCATATACAAAAAAGGAGATTGTACTGATCTAAAAAATGATAGACCAATTAGCCTCCTCTCACATCTCTACAAACTATTTACCAAAATTTTAACCAACAGACTAAAGAATAAACTACTATCGGAATTTTATTAGGTTGGGAACAAAGTTCTTGCGTTTTTTTTGAAAATTTTCTAAAACATTCGAGAAAGTTCTAGAAGTTTCCATACTAAGGGTATATAAAGGGAGTGTGAATATCTTTCGAATTATAATAAAGTCATCGATATGGACGCTGATCATGAACTGAAAATGAATCTTTCTCGTAGAGAGATTTGAGTGCTTTTACTACATGGATTCCGTCTGGGTCACAAACCAACGGAAGCAGCCAACAACATATGCAGCACGATGGGCGGGGATGTACTCTCTTTTCGTACGGCACAACAATGGTTTAATCGCTTTAAGAACGGTAACTTAGAACTCGACGATTTACCTCGACCCGGTAGACCACTGGAAGTGGATGTGGATCTCTTAAAGCAGCTTATCGAACAAGATCCTCGATTGACTTCACGGTGTTTAGCAGAGCAGCTTGGGTGCTCTCATACTGCGGTGGAAAAACATCTGAACAAATTAGGCAAAACATGGAGATATGGAGTTTGGATACCCCATGAGTTATCACCACTTCAACTTCAATACAGGGTTGATGCTTGTATGGATTTAATGACATCTTACCGCAACTATCAATGACTCCGCAATCTTATCACCGGTGATGAGAAGTGGGTGTTGTATATTAACTACACGCACAGACGCCAGAGGCTAAGCCCTGGTCAAACAGGCGTAGCAACACTTAAGACTGATCCACATCCCAAGAAGGTGATGCTGAGCGTTTGGTGGGGTGTCAATGGAATTATTCACTGGGAAGTTCTTCCAAATGGTTGCACCATCACTGCTGATCTCGACTGTCAACAATTGGACCGGGTTGCCGAAAAACTCAAGGGAAAGCAGGATCGAATTTACTATTTGCATGATAACGCAAGACCCCATGTTGCAAAGTCGACCTGCGAAAAATTATTGAAGTTCGGATGGATTACCATTCCTCATCCACCTTATTCCCCTGACTTGGCTCCAACAGACTACCATTTGTTTCGTTCTCTTTCTCATCATTTGCGTGAGAAAAAGTTCGACGATGAGAACGACGTGAAAATGGATATCGCCAACTTCTTTGGTCAAAAGTCCCAGGACTTCTATGAACGGGGGATCCTATCTCTGCCAGAGCATTAGCGACAAGTCATAGATAGTAGTGGTGTATATATAACTGAAAGCTAGTTGTACCGTTGAAGTTAAAAAATAAAAATAAAATTTTTGAAAAAAACGCAAAAACTTTGTTGCCAACCTAATAAAAGAAGGTACCTGGAAAAAAGTTTATAACTTTCGAAAAGTCATAGCGATCTGCGGTTTTCAGCAATCGATAGAAGATTATAGGGGACACATTTTTATATAAAAATCAAGGTTTAAATAATCGGTGATTGTGGAATCACTGAAAGAGTAGGCTCGTTATTTGGTGAAATCTCAGCAGAACAAGCTGTAACTTTCAGCATATATAGCCCCACTGTATCCCAATCTTCGCTGAAAATATCATCGATCAATCTTGTAATGACGAGGAATGGTGAGCCAATCATCATGTAGTCTTACATAAGACTCTCATTCACTCAATATGTTAGTAAATGGCCTCAACTTTTGGCTGAATAAATACCATAATCTAGACTTCATATCTATGCAACTATATCATAGTTTGATTAAATGAACAAGAAGAGACGGTGAAAATATTCCTAAATTCTGCATTTCTCTTAAGAAAGTTGGAAAGATTTGTTTTAAATAACTTACTGTATGAAAATCATTTCTTCGTCGAATTTTGGCTATTTTCGTACATTTTTACGATCAAAGTGCGATGCTATTGCATAGATATGAAGTCTAGATTGTGGTATTTATTCAGCCAAAAGTTGAGGCCATTTCCTAATATTTTGATTGAATGAGTGCCTTATGTAAGACTAGGTGATGATTGGCTCACCATTCCTCGTCATTACAAAATTTATCGATGATATTTTCAGCGAAGATTGGGATACAGTGGGGCTATATATGCTGAAAGTTACAGCTTGTTCTGCTGAGATTTCACCAAATAACGAGCCTACTCTTTCAGTGATTCCACAATCACCGATTATTTAAACCTTGATTTTTATATAAAAATGTGTTCCCTATAATCTTCTATCGACTGCTGAAAATCGCAGGTCGCTATGACTTTTCGTTCGAAAGTTATAAGCTTTTTTTCCAGGTACCTTCTTTTAAAATTCCGATAGTAGAAAAGATAGAAGATAGAGAACAGGCAGAATTTTAAAAAAGGGTTCTCTACAATAGATCATATTCACATTCTAAATCAGATCCTGGAAAAAACAAAGGAATTCAAGCTACCACTATGCATGGCATTCATCGGCTACGAAAAGACATTTGACACTTTAGAAAAACTAGCATATCGAAAGGCAATATATTGATTTGATTAAATACATATACGATAACGCTAAAACCTCTATAAATCTTCATAATATTAAAATTGATATAAAAATAAATAGAGGAATAGGACAAGGTAATATGATGTCCCCAATTCTCTTTATTACATGTCTCGAAGATATATTCAGACGATTAAACTGGGAAGAAAAGAGGATAACAGTATGTGGAGAATATCTGAATAACCTAAAATTTGCTGATGACGTTGTTCTGTTTGCAAACAACTTGGAAACTTTACAAGAAATTATGAAAGAACTCCAGAAAGAAAGCATAAAATCAGGTTTAAAAGTGAACATTGATAAAACAAAAATTATGATAAATAATCACATACAGAACAATAGAAAATTAAAATTAAACGACAAAGAACTTGAAGAAACCAACAATTTTGTCTATCTGGGTCAAATGATAGGCACAAATAGAAATATTGAACCAGAAATAAATAGAAGAATATAACAAGGTTGGAGACAGTTTGGAAAACTGAATAAAATATTTAAAGCGGATATTCTACTCTGTCTAAAAAAGAAACCATTTGACCAATGCATACTTCCGGTAATGACCTATAGGTCAGAAACATGGAGCATGACATAAAGACTAGAGAAGAAACTTCCAACCCTCCCAAAGAGGAATGGAAAGAAGCATGTTGGACATAAAAAGAACAGACAAGATTAGAAACAAACATGTCAGAAAGCAAGCAAAACTTATCGATATAACACGAACAATAAAAAGAAACAAATGAAGATAGGCAGGACATGTTGCTAGACAGCAAGATAATAGATGGATCAAACTTACTACAGAATGACAAATAATGGACGGAAAAACAAAACCTGGAAGACAAGCAACAAGATGGAGGGATGAAGTTCATTCATTCCTAGGAAACAACTGAAGCACTTTGGCCCAGGATAGACAAATGTGGAAAAACATGGGAGAGACTTTTGTCCAGCAGTGAACGGTAAATGGTTGCTAAATGATGATGATGATGAAAAGTATATTGAATAGATCTATATATTAGGTTTAGTGACAATTTTCTTTTAGATAAAGTCGAATTTCAATAAAAAATTTTTTTTTTATTTTTTAAAATCCATAATGAATATGTTGAATGAATCGTCTATTAGAAAATATGCTATTTGGAGGAAAGATGTTTAAATAATTGTTGAAGAAATTCGAAGAAGATTTTTAGCTAATACTCTATCATATTGAAAAGTTGAAACATAGACAAACTATTATTGTCAAGAAAAATCTTATCGAAATAATGTTTAAATAAATATCTTCATTTATATAAAGATTAAATTTGATTTAATTGATCATCAAACTGATCGAAGAGATCATATACGAATATCTAAACAGTCAACAATCAGTTTATTTCGGTAAGATAATCGTTAATATTGCATCAAGATATATCTACAGATAAACTAATTATATGAGAAATATAATCGAAACAAAAAACTCAACTAACATATTAAGATCGGATATTTAATAGAGACTAGAAAAATATCCTTGAATTTCTATGTTTTATTTTGATAAAGTTGTGATTCGAATCTAAAAATCTTGATTGTATCGAAGATGAAAGTTGAATTAAATGATCGAAGAATTTTATGGAGATTGAGATAGTTGAATGTCTTATTGTCTAGAGTTTTCTGTGATATATTCACCGAAATAATTCGTTTGTGTGTCTATATCTTTTGATCAATGGGTAAATATTGTGATGATTAATAATAATATTAATATAGATTTGTCTTTAATTAAAATATAAAATTTGAAAAAGGAAGCAAATCTTTTATTTAAATGAAAAAAGAAAAAAAATCTTGAATGGTTAATAATAAAAAAGCGTACATAATGTTAGTATAATAAATGTTAATAGCAGAAATAAAATGTATTTATGTAACTATTTAATAAAAAGAAAAAAAAAAACACAAAGATAATTGTCAATTAATTATAGAATTATTGATCTTTTTTATTCAAATCATTGTTTTGAATAATATTTTCTGAAAGATTATTTAAATTTTCATTTGAAATATTATCTTGAGTTGATTTGTGATCTTTGGAATTATTTTTCGAAGATATATTCGGATTATTTAATTGATTTTTATTTTGTGTAGATGTTTGTTTTTTTGTTTGTTTTTTATCTTGATAAAGATCTTCAATATCATCTTTATATTTTTGTTCAATAGCTTTTCGTTTTAATTTTAATGCATCAGTAACAAGACCTGTTTCAGGTGTCCATGATTCAGTTACTATTTTAATACGTTGAGGAGTTTCGAATCTTTCAATTCCATTATTTTTACAAACATTTTGAATTTCTTTAAGAATTTTTTCAACAAATTCTTCGTTGTCAACTAATTTTTGCCATTCTTTTTCATAAAAATGTCTTTCTGTATAATTCTATAGTAAATAAAAAAAAAAATATTTTTAAATAAAATATTTTATTTCTTTTTCATAAATTGTTTAGTCAATTGTTGGAGATAAACTATTCTATTGATCATAGTTATATATGAATAAGGTGTTTTTTTTTTATTTTTCATTATAATGATAAACAATAAAATAAAATATCTTCGAATTATTGAAATTGATTGAATTTTTAAAAGTCTATCAAATGTTTGAGAAAATATTTTCAAATTTATTCGATTTATTTTCAAATCTTTTTATTTTTATTTGAACAATCAAAAACAAAAAGTCTCTTTTTGTTCAGTTGGTTTGTTTAATTATCTATCGTTAAATATTGATTAGTCGGAATTATTCAAAAGGGTTATATCGATGTCAGTTACTATTAGAAATCAATTATTTTTAATAATTGAACTAACTGAAAAAAAAAAAGCCGATTGTTCAACAATGATTATTAACTCATTTTATGAAAAAACAATTCGAAAGATATTTTAGTTAACTCGATTTTAAATATAATAAATCAACATGAAACTGATCAACGAGTTTTTTAAAATAAATCTTAGCAAAAAAAAAAAAAACGACTAATTTATATAAAAAAAAACGTTTGAATAAAATCTAAAAAATAAAAAAGTTAATTAAAGGTAAACTTACAGACATATGTTTTGTATTTGGAGAAATAAGTGCAACTGTATATTCAGCTGAATGTGATGCACATACACAACTATTTTCAATAGTATGGATTTTACTTATTGCCATTTCAACTTTAGTTAATGATACATATTCACCACCACGTAATTTAACTAAATCTTTTTTTCGATCTAAATTTATCGGTATTTTTTTTTAAATTTCAAAAAAAAAAAATAAAATAAAATAACAAACCAATTATTTTAACTGTTCCATCAGGAAATATTTCTCCAATATCTCCTGTAGAAAAATATCTTTGTCCATGAATTAATTTAAAATTAATATTTTCTTTAGCTGCATCAGCAAAATATCCATCAGCAACAACTTTTCCTCCAATAAGAATTTCTCCACGTGGATTTGGTTTATCTGTATTTCTATATTGACCTTCATCCCAATTTTCTAAACGAATTTCACATGAAACAAGTGGATAACCGGCACGACCAATAGTTATATCATATCCTTGAAAAAAAAAACAAATTCTATTTGTTAAAAAACAAAATGTTAATATTGATATTTACGATCAGCAATTGTTCCAGCTGCACATGTTTCAGTTAGACCATAACCTTGAAAAAGTGTAACACAAAGTGCAGCTTGTACAAAACGTTGAGTATCTTCACTTAAAACAGCTCCACCACATAACATTGTTTTAACTCGACCACCAAGAACCAATTGATTAAAACGAGAAAATACTAAACTAAAAAAATATTTATTTGAAAAACTAACAAACAAACAATTATCAAAATAAAATCAAACCGATCAAGATGTGGACTTTCAAGACCCAATTCTAAACGTTTAACTTTCATTCTATATGATAAATAAAATAGTTGACGTTGAATTAAATTTGATTGATTGATTTTTTCATTAACTGCTTTATGAACACGATCAAGAATTGTCTTAAAAAATATATTTTATTTAATAAAGAATTTATTTATTTATTCATTCTTACAGGTACACAACACATTAAATGTGGTCGAAGAACTTGTAAATCTCCTTTTTCACCACGTTTTATAGCTGTTGATTGATCAGTTAATGTTTGAGGTGATGAATAACCACATTTAATACCCATATAAAATACAAGAATTTCTATTTTATTTTAATTAATTAAAACGTTTTTTAAATAAATAAATAAATAAATAAACAAACCGCAACAAAGTTCAAGAATATGAGCTAATGGTAAATAAGCAATATATATATCATTTTCAATATCAACCATTGGAAAAACACGTTCTTTTTGACCAGTCATTGCAGCAACAATATTTTCATGTTTTATTAATACACCTAATTTTTTAAATATATTTATATTTAATCAACTAGATTTTTTTCAATAAACAAATAATTAGTTTTAGAAAAATCACATAGATATTAAATTTTAAAAAACAAATCAATATTTAACAAAGGTGAAGAATGATATTTGAACTTTTTAGAGAAAATAGTATACTCTCTTATATCGACTGATTTCATTATTTTTGACTGTCTATATCATCTATTCATTATTTCAATAGAGAATATAACAAACAAAAATAATATTCTCTATCACAATAAACAACAATCTCAACATTTAATTAAGAAATTAATCGGAGAATTTATTCCGATTTCAATTCATCTTCAATATACTTTGGCAAATCGATTACTTTTTAATAAAAAAAAAAAACAATTTTTTTAGCTGATTAAGATATTCGACAAAATCTAGAAGACAATAAATGCGATGATTTGTGTCATTTTAGGTAAAAGTTAAATTCTTGATCTATTTTCTCAAACAAATCTTTTTACAAAACGGAACTCTTCAGTCTAGTCAAAGCGCACACTTAACCAGAGTTCCTAATCGTAGGAAACTTTGATAGAATGTTTTTCTGTTAGAGACATCTGTTCATTTTGTATAAATGGTTATTGAATGAGATAGAGATTTATTTTCCCGACTTCCGGACGTTTTCTTGGTTGAGAAACTTCTCTTTGGAGAAAAGTAAGAAGAGATTTCTAATAAAGACGATAAACTCTATTTAATAAAATATAAAATGTTTATTTTTGTTAAAATAAATATTTTCTTTATGAAAATTTCGAGGAACGATTCTCATCAACAGTTTTTCGTCGAAAAGTTTTGTTTTTAAAATAAATTATTTTTGATTAATTATTCTTTTTTTGAGTAATAAAAATAAATATTTATATGAAAATCGATGTTAATTTGTTTTATGTAAATATATAACTCGAAATAAAGATTAAATATTTAAAAAAAAGTGTTAACCTTTTGGTGTTCCAGTACTTCCACTTGTATACATAATAACTGCAATATCTGTTTTATCAGGTCGTTTATTTAAAATATATTCATCTAAATAATAAAATAAAGAAGAAATAAAAAAAAAACTAAATGTAGAAGAATAAAAATACCAATATGAGAATTTTTTCCTTGTTCTTCTAATTGATTTAAAGGAATAAATTGAATATTATTTTTATCATTTGGTACTTTAGTTGATTGTGTTTTAACAAGAGATGGAAAATAAACAACATAACGAATATGTTCTATTTGATCTAATGTTTTCTAAAAAAAGAAAAACAAGATTGATTTTTTTTCTTTTAAATAATAAAAAAATGTTACGTCAAGTTTAAAAGTAAGTTCTTGTGAAGTAATTATTATTTTAACTTGTGATTCATTAATTCCATGTTTAACAGCTTCTTCACCTAATGTTGAATAAAGTGTAACAAGAGTTAAACCATGACGAAAAGCAGCAAATGCAGTTAATAACCATTCAGGACGTGTTTCAGCATAAATTAAAACTTTATCACCTGATTTTAAACCAAGTGATAATAAACCACGACCAATTAAATTTATTCGATCACAAGCTTCACTATATGTTGTAAATTCATATTCACCCATTATAAACTATTATAAGTTTTTTTTTTAAATAAAAAAAAAAACGAAAAAATTTTCTTTTCTTATTTTCTTAATTATAAAAGAAAAGAAAAACCTTTTTAAAAACTTTTCCATTTGGTTGCATTTCATCTTCGACATCAATTATTTGTCTAACACCAAGTGTTTGTTTATGAGGATGACGTTGAAGACAAAGATCAGGAATATTAGCTAATGTTTCAAGTTGATCTTCAGGTTGTGTTTTAAGTTGATCAAGAACTTGAATAGCTCTATATGATGATGATGGATCAGAATCATCAATTAATTTCGCTCGAATTCTTCTTTGTTTTTCATTTTTATTACCATCTTTTCCTAATGTTATAACATAATGCCAAAATGTTGGTAATTGAACAAATAATAATGCTATTATATATATTAATGTTGTTCGAATTAATGTTAATAAAAATCTTTTAAATACTGTATTTGCTGTTGTACTGAACAAACGACTAAATGCATTTGGAGACATTCTAAACAAATATTCGATTTTTTTTTTTTTATTTTATAATATTAATCATAAATAAAACTAATTTGAGCAAATATGAGCAAACTCTTCTATCTTACCATGATTTAGAATTTATTGAATATTCAAAAGAAAATCTTTTCTTTCGAAAGAAAATAATAAAAAACAAATGTTTTTTCCTCAATTATCTATATAAATATTCTAATAACTTACGTGTTTTCTTTTTTTTAATTGTTATTTGTCTTAATTAATTATTCTTTGATATGTATAAATCATTCAATAAGAAGTTAAATGAAAAAGAAAATCTTGAAAACAAAACAAAGAATATAGAAATATTTAATTTCATTTGTTTTTCCTTAGAAAAATCAAATGTTAACATAACAAATGATGCGTATTTTCTTTTTTTTTTTCTTTTTATAAACGCATCACATTAAATAACAAATGAAAAAAAAAATTCCATCAACAATGAAAATATTTCTTGTTGAAAAACACTTTCAATCAAGTCGATGAAAAGCAAAAAACAAAGAATAATAAATTTGGTTTTTTTTTCCTTATAAATCTTATTCAGAATCAATTGACATTGTTGATAAATTATCATTTTGTTTATCATCATTTGAATGAATTTCTCTAAAGATATTTTTTAAAATTTATTTCATTTAAATATAAATAAATAAATTACTTATTATTATCATTGTCAATTGGTAAAAGCATTCTTTTTAATGTATCAATACAATAATTATCAATTGATGGAAAAAGATAAGCTGGTGTTGTTAATAACTATATTTATAATAGAAATATATTAGATATTAACAACAAAAATAAATAAAACAAACTTGTTCATTAAAATAATTTATTCTTTTATTTAATTTTGTTAAATCATCAAAAGATTTTTGTTTACTAACAAAATTTTTCTCAAAATCATGTTGAGATTGACCAATTATATTTGCTAAATTAGTTCTTTCTTCATTTGGTACTTCTAATTTTCCATTTATTGGAATTAAATATTTATCATCATCATCATCATCATCAACAAAGGTTTTTAAACCCTAAAAAATACAAAAAAATAATATTTTTTTTTTCGTTTTTTTCATTAAATTTAATCGAAAATGTGAAAACTAAGATTCATATTTTAAAAATCTTGTTAAGAGAAAAGAGAATATTATTCCAAATAAATCTAAAAAATTCTTAAATAGATTTTTTATCATAAATCTATTTGACAAATATTTCTCTTTTATTTTTATTTTTCTTCTTATCCTTAATATAAAATATAATCTTATTATTTTAATGTTTATCTATTTAAATTTCAATTTGATTTCGGTGACGTTAACCGAAACTAAAATTCATGTCAAATATATTCTTTCTAAACTATGTTTAACTTAATTTAGGAATTCGACATTGATTTAGTAGAGTTGGTCAACTATTCTCAATATATCACTAGAAATTATGAAATGCAGTATCTTAAAAAGATTATTTTTCAAATTTGTCAAGATTGTTCGAAAAGATTTTCTTCTATTTTTTGTTAATTGGGATATTTTATTATATTTGTCAAGATAATTATTGGATTTAAGGTACAAATGATGATCATCATCATTATTAATCACAGATTTATTTTTCGTCCTCTTCATATAATTAAAAAAAATTTGTTAACTAATCAAATAATTGGGTATTCCTTTAGCACCTGCTCTACCATTAATTAATAGTATCATTATAGCTGGTGCACCTTTTCATAGAAAAAATGTTCCACACACTAATTAGTGAGTGAAGCATTTTTTCTATGAAAAAGAGCAGCAGCTATAATGATACTGTTAATTAACGGTAGAGCACGTGCTAAAGGAATGTCAATTGTAGAATATAGAGAAATATTATATTTAAATAGATAAATAATAATCGCACTCTATCAAAACAAATTCATATGATAAATTATCAGCAGAAAAAAATTCTCTGGAAATAAAATTTGATGATAAATCTTTTATAGAAAAACACGAAATAAAAACATCAGATGACATTGAAAAAAGTTGATTTGATAAAATGAGTCAATCTATGATTATATTATCCAACGATAAGATCAATGAAAAGATGACGCTATAGAAATCAATTGAATTTGATGAGACGTCGCCACTGATTTTATTTGAAAAGAGAATTATCTATCTTATAGAATTTATCTTATAATAAAATAGAAATTAATTTAGCTAAAATATGTTAATAAAATTACCTGTTGTGGAGTATAAAAAATCAATTGAGAATGTAGAAAAGGAATAAATGAAGATGATTTTATCTTTGGTATATATGTAGCTGCTGTCACATGTCGAAATAATGAACTTTTACGTGAATGACATTTTCCATCAGAAAATGAATAAAAATGAACTAAACATTTTTTTAATTAAAACAAAAAATTCTTTTTAAAATAAAACTTACGAAAACTTTTATGAAATAAAGCAACAAAAGATGATCTTGGATCTTGAGCAAAAGCATGAACATCCCATGGAAATGATTTAATAAATTCTCCATTTAAACAATTCCATAAATTAACTAAGGTTTTATGACAAACAAGAATTTGATCACAATTAAATATAATAAATTCAACTTTATTATTTCGATCAAAATGAGCAAAACAACGTGAATATTCATAATGAGATTCTTCATTTAAATCATTTGTTTTATCAATCCAATTACTAACTAAATGTTCAAATGAACAACATAAATTTATTTCATTGGATTGAGATAATTTATAATAACATAATGCTGAACTTGAATATGAACGATTTGTATAACCAGATAAACAACGCCAATGAGATACACCTTCGAACATAACAATATCACACTTTTTTTTTTTTATTTACAATATTTTATTCATTATTCGATTAGATTTTATATATATTTACATTTATTGACAGGTCTTAAGCTTTTTTTTTCGTCTTTTATTTAATATTTATTCTCAATTAGTTGTTAACAATAATTTATAGAAATATTTAGCTCAGTTAAAAACTACTATCGGAATTTTAAAAGAAGACAGGTGGAAAAAACGCGTATAACTTTCGAACAAAAATTCATAGGGATCCGTAGTTTTCAGCAATCGATAGAAGATTATAGGAGAAACATTTTTATATAAAAAGCAAGGTTTAATCTATGCAATTGTATCGTAGTTTGGTCGTAGAAATGTACGGAAATAGCCAAAATCCGAGGAAGAAATGATTTTCATACAGTAAGTATTTTAAAATAAATCTTCCCAATTTTCTCAAGAGAAATTCATAACTTAGTAAGATTTTTATTGTCTCTTCTCGTTCATATAATCAAACTATGATATAATTCCATAGATATCAAGTCTAGATTATGATATTTATTCAGGCACAAGTTGAGACCATTCCCTAATATATTGAGTGAATGAGAGCTTTATGTAAGACCAGATGATGATTGGCTCACTATTTCTCGTCATTATAAGATTTATCGATCATATTTTTAGGTAAGATTAGACTACAGTAGGACTATATGTGCTGAAAGTTTCAGCTTGTTCTGCTGAGATTTTACCAAATAACAAGCCTACTCATTCAGTGATTCCACAATCACTAATTATATAAACCTTGCTTTTTATATAAAAATGTGTCCTCTACAATCTTCTATCGATTGCTGAAAACTGCGGATCCCTATGAATTTTCGTTCGAAAGTTATACGCTTTTTGTCTAGCTGCCTTGTTTTAGAATTGTGATAGTAGTCAGAGTGATACTTTTCTACCATCTAGGAACCTTTAAGAAAATTTTTCTCAATATAGTTTTCAAGAGAAAATAATCGTCTATTTTTCTATGCTATTTTATCATAGTTTAACTAATAAAAGTATAATAAAATAGAAGATAAGAACGGTTTTATTCCTATCTGTCATGGTTACCTAATGACCATTTTTAAAAAATGGGAGATGATTATTTTTTGAATAACTTTTGTTAAAAACAAGATAGAGAATTACGATTTTCACTGTTGGAAAGAGAAGATTAAAATATAATGAATCATATATTAGAAGGTTTCCTGATTTGATTTTTTAATAATCTTTTCAATTGTCAACTATAGATTCAAATCACTACTAATCGAAAATCTAGAAACTCCGGAAATATAATATAAATAATATGTAGTTTAGTGCAGCTTCTAATTCTGTTTTTGCAGAAATTTCTATGAAAAAAATCTACTTTTGTCCCATTCTCTTTTCTTGATAAAAAAGGAATAGTTTTTTGAGAGTTAGAAAATTGAATAAAAATACTTCAGAAATTAATATTAGAAAAATTGATAATAGATCTTTCGATGCATCTTCATCTTTTTTTTTCAACGATGAAAATCGTAGTTCTTTCTATCTTATTTCTATGAGAAGTTATTCAAAAAATATTCACTATCATTCGTGTAACCGTGATAGATCGGAATAAAAGAGATCTTATCTTCTATTTTATTAGAATTTGATTAGTTAAACTATGATAAAATAGCATAGAAAAATAGACAATTATTTTCTCTTCAAGACTATAGTGCGAAAAAGTTTCTTAAAGGTTCCTAGATGGTATAAAAGTATCACTCTGACTGATTTTCGACTGAGCTAAGTATAGAAATATTTCTATTTAAATTCTTAGAAAATAAAAAGGAAAAATCTAATCTATTACATTGACACACAAATTTTGAGGGTTTGAATCAATAGAATTCTATTGTCAATATAAACCTACATTTTAAGGTAAGTAATTATATATTCTGACAGAGCTCACAATTCTCTATCACCCTGTGTATTTAACTCTTCACTTGAATTTATTTGGTGAAAAAATATATTTTCAAGAGTGAAGACACCCTCACCCTCAGATTCCCACGACCTCCATTTTTTGTTCCTTTCTGATGTGTTTCGAAAATTTTCATCTCTAGAGTAATCGGGCTTTTTAGAAAAGTAATTATATATTGTAACAGCTCTTGAAATGTTCTATCGCCCTGTATATTCAGGTCTGACTTGAACTTATTTCCTGAAAAATATTTCGAACATTCTCAATACGAATGACGGGTGTCTTCATTCTATTGAAAATATTTTTTCAACAATAAATGGAAGTGAAGAATTAAATATACAGGGTGATAGATAATTGTGAGCTCTCTCAGAATATATAATAATTTCCCTTAAAATCTAGGTTTATATTGTCAGTAGAATTCTACTGATCCAAAGGGTGAGAACTTATGTGGCAATATAATATTTGAAATATTATATAAAATGAATATAATTTAAATAATAAATATTTTTCTAAGAATTTTAATTTAATTTAAATTCTAAAAAATAAATGAAATTATTTGAGGATATATTATATAAATAGACTGATCATCAATAGATTTTTGTTTTTTTTCTAAACTATTTCAATAAAAGTTAATTTATTTGAACAAAATAAGATTTAAATCTCGAGAATTGTTATAAATTAAATTTCTATATTATTTTCTAATTTAGTCAATGAGATAGTTAGATTTGAATTTTGAATAAAATAAGATATTGATTTATAAAAATTGAATGTTTACTTTTATTTGTATTTGATGGAATAAAAATCCAAATTTTAATAAATCCATCATTTCCAGTTGTTGCTAATTCAAGTTTATTTGGATGAAATAATATTTGATTTAATGTATCTTGTCCATGTGGATACATAATTGTTGTATTTAATTCAAATCTTTATTTTCGAGATAAATAAAATAAAAAAAAAAGATAAAATCTTACTGATTATTTGTTTGATTAAATATCCAAAATCTAAGTTTTCTTTCATTAAGATAATCATCTTTATTTGAATTTGATGAACGTTCTTCAAAAGTAACTAACCATTTATCTTAATTATATAAAAAATATTTTCAAAAAAATTCTTTTCAAAAATCGAAACCTGTTGGATCAATAGCTAAACGTTTAATATCTGTAAAAAGACATTGATCATTTATATCGTTTGGTGAAACATAATTTTCTTGAACAATATCTAACTTAAAACAAAAACAAAAAAACATTTTTTATTTTTATTTTTTAAATTTGAAAAGATATTTTTTATCGTTGATTACATAATAAATTAATTTTCCATTATTAATTGACATAAATTGAAGATAACCAGGTTTTCCACTATTCATAACAATTGATTCTTGACGCATAAATCTATGAATACCTTTAAACAACAATTTATAGATTGATTTTTTATTTATTAAAAATTAAATAAAAATATTTTATTATCAATATTATTTTAAATAATTATTTATATAGATAAACAAGATTTTTAAAAAAGAAATTTATTTTTATCATTAAAATCTTGTTAGAAAATCGAATAATTTATCATTATCAAAGATAATATTATCCCTCTTTATTTATTTATTCATAGAATAACAATATTAACTAACCAACTTACATTTTAAATATATTCAATTTTATCCGTTTTTAGCTAAAAACAAAATCCAAGAGTATTTGAAAATGTTTTTAAATTGAAAACTATTTTAGCAAATCATCAAAATGATTTTGACTTTTGTTGACAAATGATTTTTGATAAACAATAATGAAAATAAATGAAATAGAAAAGAAAATCCTTGTCAAAGATTTCTATTGTTAATCATACTAGGAAGGATAACTTATTTCTATTGTCAAATAGAAATAATTAATTGAATATAGATTTAAAAAACAAAGAAAATAAATCATATCGAAATATAAAATATCCTCGCTTATTTGTGATTAAATTTTAAAATAAAGAATGAAGATCCTCTTCTAAAAATAAATATTATTCTATCATTAAATACTTCTCAATATTCTCATCATTGACTATCGATAATTTTCGAAAAATTTCTTAATAATATTCTTTTCTCTATCAATCATTGACTTCTACAACTTTTTTATAATCAACAAAAAAAACTGAAGAAATATTTTGTTTTTATTTTTACCAGCTGGTAAAGAAGCTTGTTGAGGAAGAAATATATGATTAATTCCACCGATTGTTTGTTCAATTGATAAATTACTTCCAATTATATGAAGACCTTAAAACAAAAAAGTAAAAGAAGATTTATGTAAATAAATAAACAGAGTAAAAAAAATACAATTATCTGAATGAGTAGATACATAAAATGTTTGATCATTTGATGAACTAAGATGAATTATTGGTGCACCAAGTCGTGGTCGAAATGTTGGTTCACTTTTTCGATAAAGCCATTTAACAAGTACACATTCATTACCACCAGATAATAAATATGAACCTTTTTACAAATATTTTATTTAAAAAAATTTAAAAAAATAAAAACGAACCATCAAATGAAAATGCTAAACAAATAACAGGTAATGAATGCCAATGTAAATATGATATTGTTGGTTCTTTATTTGTTGAATTTATAAAATTATACCTAAAAATAAAAGAGAATAATTGTTTAAATATATAAGAATAAAATTTCTTTCTGACCAAAGAGCAATTCGACCAGATTGTGTTCCTAATGCAATAGTTTCTTCATTTGGATGAATTTGTGCACATGTTATTTTATCATGATATGATAAATTTTTTTTTTTTATTACTATACTTTTTATTTGATTATTTAATATATTTAATATATATATTATTCTACCATCAACATTTATAAATACACATATTTCACCCTTTAACAATATTTATTCAATATTAATTAAATTAAATAAAATAAAATAAAATAAAATACTTTTTTATCAAATGAAATTGATTTTGGTAAACATGGAAGTTTATCAAATAAAATAATAGGTGAAGATTTATGACGAATTGATTCAATTCGATAAAGAGAATATACTTAAATAATAAAATATTTATTTTTTTTAATATAAATATAATATTTACCATTTTTAACATTTTTACCAAATATATATAAACCTGAATTAACGATTGAATATAAATCAATTATTTCAAATTCAACTTTTATTGTCTAAATAAAATAATTTATAAATAGATTATCGGCTTCTTTTTTTTTTGTTATAATTAAACTGATATATTATTTATTCTGTTCTTTTCAAACTTATTAAATCTTATGAAAATCAATCAATGATTATTAAGGAGATTTTTCTATTTTCCTAGTGATATATTATCTATATAATAGAAAAAACAAAACGAGATTAATTTTTAGTCGAACAGTTAAGAAAACATTTCTCAATATGAGAAATGTTAAACAAACAGTTTTCCATTCTATAGAAATTTATCAAAGATCAAACTCTTCTATAATGAACAGATATTAAATCGGTTTCGATCTTCTTCTTTTTTCAAAAAGTTCAAAGAGAAGCCAGTGAAAACGTTCTACTACCTTTGTCAATATCTAATTCTATCAATTTTACTATAGAATTGATTCCTAGTTTTTCTTTTCAACCAAATTTATCTTCTTTTCTTTTAAAAGTTCAATCCAAACTGATCATATATATATATGATAATAATTAAATATCAATAATTAGAATAATTTTATTTAAATGTTCTTCGAGAAGAATTCGAATAGATATTCGATTAATTTCTAAAGAAAAATATTATCTCTATCTATTGATCAGATATAGAATCAAATTTTAACACTATTTTATCTTATCTTAGATAAACAAGTTTACTATCGATTAACAACAACACAGATTATTTATCGGTTAAATAAGACTATAATCCATATCTTCATAGATTAACTGGTCAACATTATTAGAGATTTTAATCAGTTCCGTCTACAATTTTATCAATAACTACTAATAAATTGGTGAAGTTTGTTTTTGTTTTTTTCGAAAAGTTCGTTTTCATCGAGCAGAAAACATCAATGAACATAGATCAATGGTATTTAAAAGATCTCCTCTAAAGTGATTATTGAATCTCTTTCGATCAGTAAAATGATAAAAGATTTAAATAAATGGTTACTTTAACCGATCATTTGAATAACAGTTTTCAATTATCTAAACAGATTCGATTCGAAAGATAAAAAAAACATAAATAAAGAGTCTCTCATTTAAAAGTATGACAATCTAACAAATAACCTCATTTAATTAGTATGAACATTTCACTAGAAATTATTATTGATATCTTATTTATTGGTATAATTCAATATTTGACGTTGTTTAATAGAAAAATCATCTCATTGAACATATATTCAGATAATCACTAACGAATCTAAACATATTCGATCGAACCAAGGAGAAGTATATTTACTCTTATTTAGTCAAAGGTTAATTAAATCGATCGATCTCAATAATTCATAACAAGACAAAAAAAGTTAATCAACAAGATTTTATTCTGTTCGATAGATAAAACATTGTAAAAAAAAAAAAGAAAATAATAATAATCAAACTGAATGTAGTCAATTAGTCTGGAAATAGTTCGGACTTGAATAGAATTTGAGATGATATCAACTATTATTATTAATAAGAAGAAAAATTCATGGAAATACGGATATAAAAGGAGGTTAACCATTGAAAAGGTTAATAATAATATATGTTAAATAATCTATTGAGATCTTATCTCAGATAGATAAAATACATATATATATATCGATGTTAAAGACAATAGAAAATCATTTATTTATCTATTTTATCTTAAAATTAAATTGAATGGTGAAAAAAGGTAAAGTTGAATCTATAAAATAAGATATAAAATAGATTTAAACTATTTATTAATATGTGATAAATAGATAAAATTGATATCAATATCTATCAATGATAATATTATCTATTCTCAATTTAATAGAAGACCATTTAAAATAAACTCAATTCTTATTTTATTTACGGTTTACTTAATGTCATATGAAAGAATAGGTCTTCTTTTTTAATGAAATTTTTTAATAAAAAAAAAAAAAAACCCTACATGAATAAGAATTCCATCTTCATAATCCCAAACATTGATAATACCGTTTTGTTGCGCAACACATAACTAAAATATAAATAAAATCTTATTTAATATACTATTGTTGATAATATATATTTGAAATACTTGAAGTTGATTATTTGGATTGATTGATTGAGCAAGAATTATTTGTTGATCATTTGAATTTGAATTGTGATTAATTAATCTTAAACATTCTCCTGTTTTAACAATCCATACATAAACACATCCATCACCAATTGTAAATATATATCTAGATTTAAACGATAAGAATTTTATTTTAAAAAGTCAATACTTACTTCGAATCTGATGATACAACTGGACGATATTTCATTATTGTTCCAATACCAAATTGACGAATCTTTAATTTTTTCATTTTTAGTTTTTTTTTCTTATAAGTCAATCTAAAATACAAAACAAAAGAAAAAAGATTGAAGCTCGAAATGGTAGAATATATATATAAGAATTTATCTCATTCAATCTTATGTAATAAAATAAATATCAATATAAATCGTTTTATTTTTTAATATAGGCCGCTTTTTTTTCTTTTATAAATAATTGATAAAATAACATTCGACTATATAGAATGTTGTTTATCATTCTCAAATTGAACACTCGATTATTTTAAATAATTAATCATAGATAATTTAATTCGAAGAATATATTTAATAGAATATCAATTGATATAAGAGTTTCATCTAATATAATCAACTTATTCTCACATTGAGATAAAGAATAATATAGTCTCAGTTAACATAATTATTTCATTATTATGATTTAAATAAAAAGGATAAGTAAGCTAAACTTGAATATTATTCTTAAAAAATGAGATTATTATATAAATATAAATATATAGATGATGATATTAAATAATAATAATATAAAATCTGTTCGAAAGAATTATACAAATATGAAATGAACAAGAATTTTTTTCGATTTTTTTCTTATCTAAATAAATGAAAATTTGTAATCAATTCGATGAAACGATTTTCCAGATGATTTCTTTAAATAATCGTTTCGATTAATATATTCAATAATTCGATATTTCATATAGTAATTCTACCAAAACAATAACAAATAATCATTTTCGATTAAATTAAATTTTTCTTATTTTCTTCTTGGTTTTTTTTACAAGATTTCTGAAAAGGAAAAGAAAAGATCGATATAAATCTAATCAGTCTATTTCTACTTGTTGTTTTTTCTATAAAATATTGGTGGAAGAGAATTAAAAGAATAATATGTTTAATTGTCTTGAAAAAGTAAAGCTAATTCTATTGTAATGTTTGTGAAGGAATTTGTTTAAGTTGTTGTAAACATGATTGTAAGGTATCGTTTTTCTTGTTTATCTCTAATTGATTGTTTAACTTTATTTCTAATCCAATTAATCATATTCGTTCTTTCAAAATCTTTTCGTGCATTTTGTAAAGCAAGTTGATAATCTAATCGATGTTTAACAGGTTCATAGATTTGTTTAAGTCTTTCTCTATATACTGTTTCTAATCCAATATAAATAATATATTTTCGTGCTTGAGTTAACTTTCGAATAGGTTTAGCACATTCTAATGATTGTTGATAGGCATGTAACATTTTGTCCAGCCATTGCTTTTGAATAATTAACAACTGAATTCTATCTCTAAACTTCTTCTTGATGCCAATCACGAAAAACATTTCCAATTGATGGACCAAGTCTAGAAAACTAATTTCTTTTTTAAATTAAAATAATATTTATTTATATTTACTTTTTAACAACAATAATAACAGCTGCAGCCAAAATAATATATTCAGTAAAATCATACCATAAAACAATATATTCTTTACTAAACATCACAAATAAGTAAACCATAGAAAACACATATATCGTCCAGCAACAACAGTTTTTTCATAAAAAAATAAAAACCATGATTCAGGTACACAATACCATCGAACTGGATTTGGTGATTGACGAACGTTTATATCGAGGATAATTAACTAACTGACGTTGAGACCATTAATCATGAGGCCATAAACGTTTTCCATTATATTCTCTTCGCCATTGTTACTGATGATAAATCGTTTAATGAATCTTCAATTCGTAATACTTTTTCCTTTTGTTTATCTTCAACTAATCATTTATTATCTCAATTATAATCATAGATATATATATATATTCAATAAGTCAAACATGTGTATTTATCACTTTTCGATCTTAATGTAGGATTTTGAAAATATTTATTTGAAATTGAGAATGGTCGATATGTAATTAATGATGGTAAAATACCACTAGACACAAGAGGACGAGTCAATTTTATCAACATCTAAAAAAATGTTCAACCAATATTGATTGTCTCACACTTTTTCTAATGTGAAATAAACAAAAATAAATAAGTTACGAGAGCGACCTCTTCTGTTTTTGTGAAGTTCACATATCAATAAAATTATTTTGAAATCGATCTTTAATCTAACATTTTTTAATGAAGAATTTTCTTTCATTTATTGAAACTTATAGATGATTATCATAGTATATAAAACAAATTAAGAATGGTTCAATAGGAGCCAATTAGATTATCGATCAAACATCGGAACAAGAATTTATTTTAACCAAAACGTTGGTTTCATTAGAAAAATGATCCTTCATTAGATTCCTATTAATTTGACATGTATTTTTTAACTTGTTATTGTTACATATTAATCAGAACTCATCAATAAAATAGAGTAAAAGTTAACGCGTCTTATGGAAATCCAAAATAATGTGTTTTTCTATATTATGTTTACACTAGCAAATTGTACAACAATGAAATTCTTTTAACTAATGCATGAAAAAGAAGGAGAAAGAAAAATGGAGTTCTTTCATTTGACAAACATAACCTATGGATAATGAAAAAACAAAGGACAGGAATGAAAAATATGTTTTGGATTTTTTTCTTATATATCAAAAAAGAGATTGAAGAGTGATAGAAAACAAGTAAAAATATTCTAAAATTATTGAATAAGTTTCGTTTATCACCTTTGAGCTTAAAAATTGATTCAACCATCTTGAAAACAATGTCTTATTTTATCCAATAAAGTCTAAAACAACGTGTATATCGAGAACAACATATGCACTATACACAAGAGGGAAACAACAGACTCCAATCCTTATCAGTCTCACAGAGTTCTTTATAATTCCTCTCAGTTCTTCGAAATCAAATGGAATTCTCGCTAGTTTTGCAAGCACTACCATGCAGCATTCTTATCAGAAAGAATGTTACATGAGAAGTTTGATTCCATCGAAGACTTGTACTCTACAAAAAACTCTTTTTTTTTTGTAGAACTCATCAGTTCTCGAATAGCATCTTGTTCGTCTTCATCAATGTAATCATCATTCGAGGAAAGACTATTATTATTGTTGTCATTCTTGTTGATATTATTTGTTGTTTCGACATTACCATTCGCAGCTTTTTCAAAATCTTCGTCGTCCATATTAGTTACTTGAGATGAGTAGTTGGATATATTTGAATTTGTATTTAATTGTCCAAAGATGTATTCACTTTATGACTTGAAACCAAGAAAACGTTGTTTTTGTAATAAATTCAATATTTCTGAGCCATCAAGTCTATAAATAGTTTTTATTATACGCATTGTTGATAATTTGTTTAATATCTATTTGATCGATCTCATTTTCAGTTTGTGTAAATGATGATTGACGATCATTGCGATGCTTGGAATAAACCGGAAAGATCAAATTGTCAACTGATTCATCATATAATTGTTTACATTTAATATCATTCAGTAATAACAGGCTTTGGGCGTATCGTATAAAATCATGCATTGTGAAGTTAATTACGGTTAAATAAATCCCACTTAATGCTTGCGTGTTTCTTAATATTGATTCACAAGTTTGCGAATTGAAAATATGAATATTGAATACATGTGATGATACCCAGTCAGACAAAAATTTCGAAAAACGCGTTTAAACGCACAATCGGGAACCGTGACTGTGATCCATTCACGCTCATTAAAAGAACGTACGAAAACGTGTTTATTGGCGTTTTTTGTAACTTTCTGGGCGTCAAAACGGCGGAAATTCCAGTTTTTGAGCGTTAAAACGCACTATTATTCTAGAACTTAAAAACAATACGTTTTAACGCTCAAAAACTGGAATTTTCATCGTTTTGATGCCCAGAAAGTTACAAAAAACGCCAATAAACGCGTTTTCGTGCGTTTTTTTAATGAGCGTGAATGGATCACAGTCGCGGTTCCCGATTGTGCGTTTAAACGCGTTTTTCGAAATTTTTGTCTAACTGGGTAACTGTTTCTGTTTGACAAGTAAAATAAAATATGATCAATTATGCGTATTCAGTTCAGGCACCATACATGTTGGTTTAGTAATAAAATATTTACTTTTATTGTTTTGTATTGCTTGTGTCAGTGTTGTAACTACTAATAGTAAATAATCAGTCCAATCCGATCTTGTCGAGGATTCGTTACCGGTCAGTTTGAATTTTTTTGAGTTATTTGTATCCTTTTTTTTCAAAAAAAGATGATCTTAAAAGGGTTTTTTTTGCAAATCAAAAAGTTTTCACTGATGTCGAAGACTATTTCCGTAAGGGAGTGTACATCAGAATTTTCTATTAAGTGAAAATTTATTAAAGTACACTGAATATATTGTGTCAATTCATGTTAATATCAAGTTATGTTATCGAAACAAAATCGAATAATTATTTAGTATTGGAATTATCATAAATTGATTTATATTTCCTACTACTTATAGTATATACTTTGCACAGTTATAAGAAATAATGAAGAAAGTATAGCATGGAAAGCAGATAAATTATACGTTTACTTAATAATATCTATGTCTAATGAACATTTATTCATTGCATAAAGCTTATATAAAATTTGTCGTTCTATGCGGCATCCTGTGTACCGATCGATACTTGAAGATAAAAAATTTAAGGAAATAGATAGGGAAAAATCTATAGTAGCGAACCAGGCTCACATGTCATTAGTGTGGTGATTAAGAGGTAGATATGACTAATCGAGTGTTCGATTTAACTTTCATATGATCAGAAAAGTGAAGGACGGCTCATCCTAATCTACTGATCGGTTCAATTTGGTCTGACCGATTTAGACCAGTGCCGCTGTAATGGAAAAAACACTAGCGGTTGGAACTTTGGTTTGTGTTGCATTGAATATTTTAAATTTAATCGATGTAAACCATGATCGACATGAAGTAATTACACACGCTAAGCAGACCGTAGTATTATATCATCATCTATCACAACATCTACAGATGACTATGATTATCCTACTAGACAGTCATCGTTATTAATAACGACAAGACAATCAAAAAGAAATCTTAATGTAATAGAATCTTGACTTGATACAAGAAAAGCAGCAAAAAAATGAGAAGAGAATAAGGTTTATGTTAGTAACACTGTCAGGTTTCGTGCTTCTCGTGTTGCTTCTTTGATTTTATCTCATCGAGAGATATCTTTTTTTTAAACAAGTATATCTTCTGTGGGAAACTAATCCATTTACTCTTTACTTAAATGCTCAACCTATTGAGTAATTGTTGCTTTTTATATTTGTTTTCATTTTTATTGTTTTAATATTATACCATTGACTATTGGCCGAACATATAAGATGTTGATAGTAATAAAATAACTCTTATTTGAGCACAAGTTTATTAAATAATCTATGCATTGTGTATGCGCGAATGTCCACATAACTTTTCATTGATATCGTAGTCGTTCTTTGTTATTTATAAGAGATTGGAAAAGACAACAGATTTGTAAAATAGCAGAAACTTAAGAGCTACTAGAGATAATTTGAGTAACTTGGAATATTGGAGAATCCTTTGGGACCTCGAACTTCTGGAATTTGCTTTTCCTCCTTTCACTAAACATGTTACTGATGTTTGGTTCATCTCCGTTGAGAAACAGTGGTTTATGTACATAATTGAAGCTCTCTTAGAGAAATAACTAAATAACAAATCTAACAAAGATTTTTTGATTTTTTCATTATATAGAAAAGTTTTCTTTAATCTTTCTTTGAGATTAGTCAGATGATTTTCAACGTTGAATAAAAGAATATCTTTTCAATATATTATTTGAATATTATTATTTTATTTCTTATTCGAGTTTCCTTTTCTGATTAATAATCATTTTGATATTGTTATGAATATTATTTTTAAGAATAGCTTCAGTTAAAAAATATTTATGAAAAAAGTCTAAACAAAGAAAATAATTAATAATAATCCTTGCTGAAGGTTTTATCATATAAAATAAGAATAAAGAAACAATTTACAAAAGTAAACTTTTTCTTTTTGTTTAATAATTCAGAATGGAATTAAAAGTTCTTTTGAAAAAAATATTTCTTTGATATATTCATTATATATAAATGATTTTTGTATCGATTGATAATAATATAAGATGATGAATTTATCGGAAAAGAATAAGAATGGTTAAATATGAACCAATAGTAAAATAGATGATTCATGAACATATGAAAAAAATGATTCATTATTTTCAAATCTGGTATTGCTCAATAGAGAGAAAAAGAAAAAGACATATTAAATTCGACGTTTGTTGTTAATGATGTTATCATTTATTCGTAAACGATTTCCATCAAAAGATCGGAGTAATGAACATCTTCAAAATGTTAAATCGAACTATATTCAAAATGAATATCAGGTATTTAAAAGAGTTTTTTTGATTGAAACAATATGTTTTTGTCTATGATGATATTTGAATAAATATATAAAAGAAATTTTTATTGATTTCATTTTTCTTTTGAAAGGATAATGGTAATCAAATGAATAAAACCGAATCTACAAATGATTTGAATGTTAATAATAATGAAAATAAGAAAAAAAATAAAAATAAAAATAAAAATAAAAAAAAAAATAAAAAAAGATCTTCATTAACTCAGGATGAATTTAGTTTTTGTTCAAATGCTTTACCAATTGTTAATCAAATAAATAAATCTTATTCTGATGTTGATTATTTTCCAATGATGCCTGGAGCTTTATCGAAATCGATCAATAATGATAATGAGTCGATTAATCGTGGTAGAATCAATTCATTTCATCATTCTTTTTTTCTTTAATTTCATTTTTTTCTATGTAAAAGATTCATTATCTGATTGTTATTTAAATCTATCGGAAAGTATACAAACGACGCATCATATGAATTATATAGAAACTTCACAAATAAACTCACGACTATTTCAAATTCCAGTGATCGATTGTCGTCAAGAACAACAAATATCAAATTATAAAGATGTTGATCATCAACGAACTAAAGCACTTAGACAAGTAACAGAAGAACGTACACAAAAAAGGGTATTTAATTCAATTTTAATCTATAACTATTTTCTTTTTTTTTTCTTTTTTTAGATCAGTTAACTAATTTTGAGATTGAATGCAACTATTCCATGACAATGTTTTATCATTATTCTATTCAATATTCGAGTTTTTGTTTTATGGGCATTGTATTCATTTTGATAATATTATATTTATTTTATTTTTAATTAAAGGAGTTATTTTAAAAATATTTCTCAAATAAATTGAAATGAATAAATACATTGATAAAGATCAATAAAATAAGAGAAAGTAACAAAAATTCTTAAATAACAATCATCAACAACTTTTATATTGATTCTATGCTATTTATTTTTTCCATTTTATCTCAAACTTCTTAATAACATTTCCAATCGACATCGAACATTGCGATCGATAAAATTCAAATGAAACTAGATATTTATTCTATAGTTAGATATTGAATCTAATCATGTTTACATGTTTTATTTATTGAAATCTATTCAATAAATCAAATAAGCTAACAAAAATTATCATTAAATATTTAACAAAATCATCTCAGACTTAATCGAACATAAGTAGAAATATCGATTTATCAACGAAAAAATAATGTTAATTATATGGGAAAATTAAAAAAATAAAGAAGATGATTTTGGAGGTATAGCTTGATTGCGAACATTTTTTTTTCGACTAGTTAAGAAAAAATATCTGCAAAGTAGAATTGAGGAAGAGACAAAAATGATCGCGAAATGGAAAATGTCCGCATTGTAGAATCAAAACAAGATTCATTATGTAAAAAAAAATACAGAAAAATAATTTATAAAACATAAGTGAACATCTAACTATTTTTAAGTTCATAATCAAGATCATCCTTGTCAGCTATATAGAATAAATGGATGTATCGATAAGAAATTGGATGTAATCTTTTTTAATAATCACTCAGAATCAAAGAAATCATTTAAATATTCTTGCTTTGCTTGAATTAACCTATTATCATTTGTCACTGATGTGACTCTTCTAGGACGTGTTGTTCGTTGTTGAGCTTGTTCTTACTCAACTAGAACTATTATTGATTTCTCCAATTCCTGGATATATCTTATCCAGGCCCACAGATTTGGATGTGTTTGACAATGAGAATTTAATTAACCATGAAAGCCTTCTACATAGTTGTTGGTTTTTGGTCGAATTCCGATTAGATCAAATAGATTCCAAAATGATGGTGGAAATAAAGCTTCTTCAATAAATATATATATACGAAGAATATAATCTGTTAATTTAAGAAAATTTCGTTTTATATTACTTATATGGCTTCAATAATATTAGTAAAAACTGTTATAATTTCCTGAAGTGGCACTAATAGTAACATAAAAGTGTTTGCTGTCTGACGACGAGCTTCATCATCAAGCGAATAACAAATTAAACCTTTCTTTTTAATTTATTGTCAAATATTTTGGCCGAAATGAAAATGTCGTTCCTTTATTTTTGCAGTTGGAAAGTTTTTCAAAAAAAGCCTGATATACGGCTATTTCAAAATTAATGAGAATTGATTTCGGAGTAAGTGAAATACCATTGATTTGAACATAAATCATTAATTCATTCAAAAAAATATCATACGTGTTGATATTCTTGTTGAGTAATGTAGGATATATGACTGACTTCATGCTGAAATTATTCCATATATGAATACTGTAGCTTTGATAGAATAGTTTAGGTGCAATACAAAATGTATCGTCTGTATTTCAATGTACATTATCACAGAGTAGTTTAATACCCAGAGATGAAGCAAAACCAAGTAAAGATCCAAGATGATTATTGAGAAATAAAAATTTTTGATCCAATAAAGTGCGAGTAAGTCCATAAGGTATATCACTTGATGATAATGCTTTAGAAACTGGTGGATGTTTGAATGATCGATATTTGTATAAAGAAGATTTGACACGATCGAATACCGGAATTGAATCAGCGGCACCATTTTCACGTCGAAATTTTTTAACCTGTTGATCATATAATAATGCAACTGTTGCTGTGGGCTCTTCTTCAATTCGAGGTTTGATGGATCTAATACATTCATATACGTCCAAAGACATTTTTGGTTAATGTTCAAATTCATGACTTCCATTCCATTTAATAGAGGAGATTTCTAGTATTGAACCTTCACATAGATTAATTGAAGCATTGCACAATTTATGCTTACAGATCCATACACGAGTTCCATTCTTATTTATTCGTTTCATTCAAAAATCATAGTCTTTAAGAACTATACCATCTTTATCAGATTGTGTGATGATTGGAGAAAAACTATCGTCTTTCACTATGGAGATTTTTATTGGATTCATCTAGGTGTATCTTGGTCACTTTAAATACTTTTCTTTCACAATACATGTCTACAAAGTGGCCTGGAAGACATGTGATGGTAAAGACTAGAATAGCTTGTAACAGTTGATATTCTTCAATCGAGCTATCTATACAGATCACCTTACAATATGTATTTCCGTTTGTTTCCATAATGCGGACATTTTTGCTTTCCCTCCTCGATTCTGCTTTGCGAACATTTATTTCACTCTAATTAAGAAAAAATGTCTGCAATCAAGAAGTCACGGATGTACAAAACCTGGTATGTCACTATGTGCCCAGATTCTATGTTGAAAATATATAGTGATGAACATTTTATCTATTTTTAGTCGTTTTTGGAATATTTTATACGTTATTATTACTCTATGTTTGATTGATATTTCATTTATCATAGAAGAAAAGAGACAAATAAATATAATTTTGACTCATTTTTATACGTGCGACATAGTAATAGATATAAAAACAAAAGCTGCTACTCTCTTTTAGCACAATGTAAGTTTGCTACATATATTGATGAAATCATTGCACCCTAACCATTCTATATGTTTTTATAATTTTCTAAATTTGAGATCTCTTCAATTTAAACAAGTATTAATGAAACTTTTTCCATTATAGTAGATAAATCGACTATGCTCTAGATAATTAGACAGATGAAAGCGAATTTTGAATAAGTCGATGTAAATATGTCATATATACGATGAAATCACCCTAGTTTCGCTTGATTTATGCTAATCCAATAATTGATTTTCTCTATGTTCTAGAAGTAGAATTGACTTTTCTTATATTTACTGTTGATGATATGAGGCATAAGTGAAAGTAAATATTTTATTTTTCAACAATAATTGTGTAATCTCTGACCACTCTAACTGAAGTACCCATTTTATTATTCGAAATTCATTTTTTCTTGTTTCTTGTTAGCAAAACTCCTTTTTTGATTTTAATGTTATTTTTTCCACATTTTCTGGATTTGAATGTTTGGTGCAAAACATAATAGATGTACAAATGTCTTGAAAGATTGATAAAGATTTGCATTGTGCTATGGAATAGTGACTCATTTCTATTCGTGCGCATTCTTCTTTCCACTTCTTTTGATAGCATCCTACTGTTTTATTCCTTAAAAAAGTGGCTAGTCTTGTTTCCTTTCATCTTAAACCGAGTCACAGCTGGAAGGGAGAGGATGTTGTAAATGAATTGGTACAAATTCTAATTATAAGCGTTTGACAATGCTTGTAAGTAAAAATGTCATGTTATTTAATGATCAATTCTTTGCTAGACTCTCATATCAAATTTCATACACCTCAAAGATAAACAGTTTGATTAATATCTATTTTTCTATTTCTCGATCGGTCATATTACATTTTTAGGCATCAAAGACAATAACAGTTTTGTTTACACGACTTATATTTTCTCTCTTTATCGACTTACCGCGAGACGCGTAGATAGAATAGACTTAGTCGAAGAGAAAACAATTTGATAAAGCGGAAGCCATGATGATATCAAATTCACCTTTGAAATATGTCAACTTTGAACCATCATTTCGTTCGCATTCGATTGATATTAGATCGATAATAGTACTTTCGTGAAAATAACGATCTATAAAAGGGAAATACATAAATCTTGTCATCATTTAAATAGTAAGTTCATACCAATGTCATTTTTCTTTTCGACTTTAAAATAGAGCTGCGTAATAATAGGTTTGTAACCAGACCTTTGAACATAGTAGTGAATATGTGGACAACGCCACCTCGAATTATCTACATCAAGATAAAGTGCCAATTTCACTGTTTCATACTCATATCGACCTTATTTATCTGCTATTAGGCGAGCTCGATGGTGAAAGTAAGATGAGAGACCATGTGTATTGACTTCTTCTTTATATTCAAACTTAATATTGGGATCGGTTTCGTGATAATCATATTACCCTTCTGGCGACGCCTGCTATATATCTATGGAAACAAAAGATTATGGCCGACGAGTATCTAAGTCAAAGACACGACCCTTGATTATAATTGATATATCGAGAGCATATACTGGTGATATCTTAGCGTGAAATGAAGCATATTGAACATAAAAAGGTCCTCATACTATGCATCACAACCGATATAGTATATTAGTAAATGAACAACTTCATGCGATCAATCTTACCTTGATTCACAGTGGATTCGGTTTGGCCTGACGATAAAACAGGATATTCATAATCACAATTTCTATTTGTACTATTATCAGAAATTTTTATCAATGATGATGAACGTAAAAAATATGCCATTATATATTTGAATTCTGCATATGATAAAACTCTCTTATATTTTGTATATAAACGAGAAGAAAAACAAGAGTCAACTGATAAGAAATTTTTCTGTTGTCATTGGAACGCTCGATAAGACTGAACTATCTCTCTCAGAAAAAAACTCGTTTACTCTATCCATTAATTTACTTTCTAAAAATGTCAGTCAATATAAAATCAAGGTCAATGAGGTATCATGCAGATGACCGATTCAGACCCGTCGTCAAAATAATAGTCAACATATTAAAATTGAGTTTAGCTGCTATGAGCATAGCTTCAGCACTCCGACAGTTCTTTTCATCTAATCTGACAATAAACTAATTGAAGAAAAAAGACATGTAAAAATCGTTCAGAAAAAAGATCTCAAAATTTCGAATTTACCTAATTTAGAGTTCGCATTTTTTTGTCCGCATAAAAATGCGTTAAAACTTTCCAACGAATCACTCATGATTTCAAAACTCTAACATCCTATAACAGATAAACATGTTTAAATTTACAGTTGAATGTCTCGCGCATTTTTACATGTTCGTTTTTTAAATTGAACGAACTCTTTGAGGAAGAAGTTATCATTACATACTTCAAGAATACTGGACTATAGGGATTGTCATTTTTGTTTATTTTATACGTTCGCAGCGATTTGATTTTCTTAGAAAATAGCTTTAACAAATTCATTTTCATGCGCATTCATCTTCTGATAAATGTACAAGTTGCCCTTTTTAGTATGTGCTGCCAATTCTTCTTCTTTTTCTTGTTTGTATTATTACATAGGCGGTTTTTCACATAGAACTGAATAATAACTCAAGTTTGCTTTTCTCCTTCGTGTGTATTGCACAGTAGGAACGAAATAAACGAAATGAAGTTTCAATGTTTTGTCTTTTGTATTCTTTTCGTAGCATCATCTTTAACTCTTTCCTCTTGAGTGTATAAAAACAAACAAAATTTTGTGATGATTTATATACTTTTTGAAGAAACTGATACAGAAGACAGCGATACTCAGTGAGTGATGTGAGTGCTTTGGATGATGATCTGGATTTACAAGCCTGGAATGAAATAGAATCAGAATCGGATGCTGAGTTTCAGAAGGATGATGCAATCCTCGAACTAGTAACGCCAATATCGGAAGATAATACAATCAATCCTATTGATTGCTGTCGATATTTTATCACTGGAGAAATTATTAGCCTCCTGGTTTGCGAAACTAATCGATACGCGGAACAACGCTACAAACCCAGAAGCCTACCAGACGATGAAAAACTCTTCAATGGGAACCAACTATTAACAAGTTGTACTCGATTATAATGATGGGAAACAATGTACAGATTTATCTGATTAGCTATCACCATACTATACATGCCTCAGACGATCTATAAATTGATATCAAAAGACGGCATTTGAATTGATATATGGAAGAGCAATAGTTAATGCCTATTTGATTTACAAGAAAAACTATGACACAAGCCACATGACCATTCTTCAGGTTTGTAAAAGTCTTATACGATCTTTACTCGTTGGTATCCCATTCGAGAAGCTGAAACCTGATCTGAGACAATAATCAACAAACAATTCGAAACACAAACTCGTTGATCGCAATCTCAAAGAAAAGGAAGAATCTATGCAAGTTGTCTGAAGACACTGTGCTAGCTGTTATGATAAAAGCAGGGAACAACAATCAAGAGAAGGGATTCATGCAACAGAAAAAAAAATAAAAACCTTCTGTTCTGATTGTGACAAATTTTTTTTTGTCTTGATTGTTTTAACGAGAAGCATCACGGTATACAATAAATTATTCAAATAATAGCGAAAACAGAGCAGATGACACATTATGTGTAAGCTCATCAGTAAGAAAAAAAGGAAAAGAAAGTATTTCTCTATTAAGTTTCTTGTTAAAATATGGTAAGATCTATCAGTGTGGATTTTATTGTCCCGAATGTATTACAATAAATATAAATTAATTATAATTTAATGAATGCACAAATTAATTTGAAAGTAAATATAAATAGACATCCCTAATTGAGAACAATTTCAACTAACTTCTAAACTATATTAAATTAATTCTTCTCGTTTTTCAATAACATATCAGTTCGACTATATCTTGTATAAATCTACTTGAAGCCGAAATTTCAACAGAGACAATCGAACTAATGGTTTAAGTATACTGAATGAAAATAAAAAATGAAATAGGTAAGAAGTGATATCAACTAGTAATCAAATCTTCATGAGGTATGAGAACATGGTAAATTATAATTTCGAATAAACTAAAATATCTACACATTATTATCCACTAATTAAACGCACTAGGAACATTGGTAGAATGTAGATGTCAATGAGAAAGTCGGATCTGTGTCTATCAAGATAAGAGTCTCATTCACATCCATGAGATTCTCCTATAGAGACAATATCAATAACGACGATGGGGATCGTAATACTGAATATTATAATAAGTAAATATACGACAACTTATGATCGTTTAGAAATGTAATTATTTGGTGTAGGTTAATTAAGTTAATGATAAAAAAAGATTTAAAAGAAAATAATAATGACAAATGAAAGATAATAACTAACTCCGATCATAAATGATGTTTGTTCTCTATCATAGTTGATATTGATTTGTTTCTAATGAGTAAAATACTTAGTCAGTTTAAAGAGAATTTAATGGTAACATAATGGTGTGTATGTGTCAACTACAATAATAAATGTATTGAATTCATTTAAAATAAAAAAGAAAAAGTAAGATGAAATGAAATGAAGTGAAGGATCCTAACTTTTGATAAATCTCAGTCGATGCTGTCAAAACGTTTTGTTTTTTTTTCGTATCGATTGTGTCGACAAAGGCTCGTTGTATATGATTGTTTCTAATTGGTGGATGAAGAAGAAAAAAATGAATGAATGATATGTTTGTTTCTTTTCGAATGAAAGAAAGATAATAATAAATCATAAAATAAAATAAAATTCTTGGTATAATTGTGGTCTTGTTTAAAAAGAAATGTTGAAAATTCGTCCTTGTTCAAATATAATTCATCATTATCAATTGCGATCATCTTCAGTTTCTATTAATCGTTTAACAAATGATGAAATTAGTGCTCATCGTCTTCGTGTATATGCTAAAGAACGTCAAACTCAAATGGAACGTATTCGTCGTGTAGAAAAAATCGAAGTTGATGTTCATGATCCAATTCAATCAAAAAAATTATTGATGAATAAAAATTTATCAACACCATATAATTGTGCTCAACATTTATCGTCAGTTTTAGTTGATCGATCATGTTTAGCTTTAATTGATGATAAATATATATGGGATATTAATCGTCCATTAGAACGTGATTGTACATTAAAATTTCTTCATTTTATGGAAGATAAATGTCAAGAACAAAATCGTGCTTATTGGAGAACATGTTCATTTATTATTGGATATATACTTCAAACAGCTTTTAAATCAAATAATTATCTTGAACTTTGTTCATTTCCACCACCACAATTTCAGTTTGGATCATTTGTTTATGATGCTAAACTTAATCTAGGTTTAAATAAAATTATTTTATTAATTGATTAGTTTTTCTTTTGTTCTAGGAGATTGGCAACCTAATCGTGATGATCTTCGTTGTTTATCAATTCAAGCATATAAATTACGTGATCTTAATCTTCGTTTTGAATCTTTAAATATAAGTAAAAGAGTAGCTGAAGAAATGTTTTCATACGATAGATATAAACTTGCTCAAATACCTCATATGCTTCGTTTAATATCACCTGATGATAATCAACCTCGTTTAACTGTTTATAAAATGGGTGATTGTCATGTTGATATAACTCGTGGACCATTAATATCATCAACAAAACAAATCGGAAGATTTGAATTTAGTGCTATTCATCAGATTGATGTTCCATCATATGGTGAACAAATGCAACGTGTTCAAGCACTTTCAATTCCTAATCAACTTCATTTACATTATTGGACATTTGATTATTTATTAGAACGAGCAAAAAAACTAAATCGATCATCAATACCATCTTTACCTAAAATAAATTCACCACTATCGAAAATAGAACAAGTTCAATAGTTTATTCTAGAAATAATAAAAAAAAAAAAACATTCGTCATTTTTCTATGTTGTTCTACTCTGTTAAGTGAAACAATCGTTTTTCTCTAAACAAGTGAAATATTCTCTCTGTGTTTATTGAACTAAGATAAAAAATATATTTAAACTAATAGATTGAAGAGATTTTTTCAGATAAACAAAGAGTATAACACTTTTTCTCTTTTGACGATCTTTGGATTTTGTTTTTGTTTGTTTTAGATAAATTGTTATTCATTTCAATGTCATCTTATTCGAATTGATTATATCGATTTTAAAAAAACCATATAAAAAGATAAATTATTCTTAGTCATTACATCAAATCACTATAAACTATCATCAAAATAAAAATATTGTTTATATAGAAGAACTTATTTTTAATGTTTCGCATCAATTTAAAATTAACATTGGAATTTTTTTCCATGATTAGTAAATCTATATCTCTTCTCCATTTTCTTTTCTTCATAAATAGTCAATTTTCTATTTTATGTTCACAAAAGAAAAATCACTAGACTAGATTTAAAACATTCCTCTTGTTTTTTATCTGTCAAACTGATTGACAGACGTTACCATAGATCCATATCAATTCGAATTGATTTTGTTTTTTTTTATAAAAGAGTATTAACTTGATCATCTTATATCAATATTTTGTTTTTTAATATAAATATTTATAAATTGAATATCTGATTATTGATTATGATAACAAGTCAAGTTGATTGATGGAAACTGTAAATAATTAATTTAGTTTAAATAAAATGACTATCTATAACATTGATTTCTTTCATATAGGAACAAGAAAAATCGAAGACTTTAGAAATGTTTCGATAATGGATATCATTAATTGATAAATATCAACATAATACACAAAAATGTCCTCGTTATAAACTTAGTTTATTAAGATAAGAAAAGAAAAGAAAAGAAAATTTTTTTTATTAAAAAAAAAAACCAAAATGTTTCGATATATGTCTATATCGAAATGGTGTTTGTTCACAAATGACTTGTTGAAAATGTCAATATGATCATTGTTATAATCGTGGTAGACGACGATTATCTATGAAATATATCGGTTCACATCAAAGTTGATTTTATCGATTTGTATGTAAATATAATTTCTATTGAGATAAACCATCACTTCGTCATAGAGTTCGTCGATTTATTGTTGCTGTTCCAACATTAGGAATATCAGTAGTAGCTATAGATACTTTTACACATTATTAGTTATTTGTAGAATAAATAGCTACACCAACTTATGGGAACATATCGTTTAGTTAAACATATTCGTAGGAAATGAGAGGAACTTCATTGAATATATCCTATCGAAACAATATATAGAAAATCGACAATTAGTCATACCCTTTCAATGTAGTTTTATGTTCCGGTTTACCCCCGATTCGTCCCTGATTCGTCCCCACCCGCAGTGCGGCGCTTGTGATGTTTCTTTGAAATTAGGGACGAATCGGGGTGCAACGTATGTTCCTAATGAACAAAATAGAGAAACTAATCATATAGAAAGAGATATTCAAGCTGGTTTAATTATATGTAGACAAGTTACATCGTATTCAAGTCGAGATATTATTTATTTCAATAAAAATGATGATTATTATAGTTTTCATAAATGATTCTTCTCATTCGACCAGTGATTTTGTCTTTATTTCGAGGACAATATAGATTTTTTCTTGTTTAAAATTCTTGACAATTTTTTCTTGTTTAAAATTCTTGACAATTTTTTC